AGTCTGCAGTGTCCACGGGCATGTTGCTGGTGTAACCCGCAGTACCACGGCAAAAGCCGAAGAAGAAGCGGCTCGTCGGAGAAGCATTATAGCCGTGACGGCGGCAAATAAATATCAAATCATTATTTAAAACTACAAAAAGGAGACAACAACGGAACAGGAGAAGATGGCATACTTTGTCTCCACAAGGACTTGTACCACGGCAGATCAACGTTGTTTGTCGCGGACAACTACTGATGAATAATGCTATGTAGTATAATAAATGAAAAGAAACTTGTTCTTTGCTTTGTTTTATTTTATATAAGAAGGTGTAACAGGCTACGGCGTAGGTTCGACGCAGAAGTACAAATTGGGCTTTAGCCCCGCCCCTGCGTTAATTGCGTTAAATATTTTTAACACGTTAAACTGAAAAAAATTTATCACCTGCGTTAACGCGCTAATTTTGACACCACTAAAATATATATATATATATATATATATATCAGTGCAGTCAGAGAATCTAAAAAAGTATCAACATGGCTGTTACTTTAAGTGGGAAATATGAATATGAGGAGACGCCTAAAGGTCGTCCCTCAAGGTCATGATGTGTTCAACCGAGCAGAGAGACGTTCGTTAAAGATCTGCCAATCACATGTACGGCTCTTATAGGCACTGCTCCAGTTCTCCTACACCAGCTGTACCGCTGTCCCACAACATCTGTCCACGGGGAAGCGCTCGGCCCGTTACAAAAGATTACATTTCCAGCCCACGCCAGGCATCTTTTCTCGCTCTTCCTATGTCTTCCTACTAAACTCCACCATTCATCACTGCTCAGCTGAAATGGCCTCAGGAAAAGCTCTTATTAAAAACCAACCCGGATAATATTTCTCAATCAAAGTCAATTAGGGGCCCCCTGCTTATATCTGCTTCCATTTAATACAGTTGCAGAGAACTATAAGAATCCCAGCGTTACGCTGTACAAACGAGGACTGGGAGATTTCAACACTTTATTTGCCCTCAGATTAACACTGGAAACCCTGGCCATCCAACCGTGTGTTCAGGACTCAATGGAGACCATGTTTGAGGCAGTTCTCATATTAGAGCTACTGATGCAGATCCGGGTTGGTTCGGTATAAAAGAAATCCTGACGAATTTGAAGAATAGAAGTGCTTCTGACAATACGTTATATAAGAAATAAATTTTTGTGCCTTGCATACTTAAACATTTGGTTTTCTATGACTTTTGGTTGTGAATTCTGCTTATCATGATGTCAGTTAGTTAAATGATTAGCTAACATGGATGAGATTTAGTCAAAAGAATGACTTGTAATCGCATCAGTAAGAATGGGTAAAAAAAAAAAAGACAAATCAACAGCAATATTTCACGTGTACCGTATTTTCTGGAATCTTAAATACATGTTTATAGTGTTTACAATGCTTGTAAAGTTTATTTTATTTACTGGTATTTTACTTTATTTCTTCATGTAATAATAAAACATGACTTATACACCAATGCAAATTTTATTTTTTTTCGTTCTCTCAACAATTTCCAGAAATACCATATGCCATCATGATCCAGCAGACGTGTTATGAATTTATGGAGTTTCTGAAATAAAATAATAAAATAAAATAAAAATTGAATAAAAAAAAAAGGAAAAATATATATAAATAAAATCTAAATGTAATTTCTTAAATGCGTAACATTTTTTAAATAAAATATTAAATACTTGGTTTTTTTATTTTAAACATATTACATTTATATTTTATATGTATAATTTACATATAATTCTATATAATTATGAAAAATTTATAATTTTACATGTTGAATAATACATAAGTATATTTTTAAAAAAAAGAAAATATTAAATACACAATTCTACATTTATAAACAAAATATGCATTTAATTTGAAAAATTACTAAAATATTATTAAAAATAACAGAAAATATTAAATACACAATTCTACATTTATAAACAAAATATGCATTTCAAAAAAAATTTTTTAAATATAAATAATTTACAAAAATTTCAGAGGCAGTGAAATCGTTGGCAGGCCAAGGATAAATCTCTTGGCGCAACTATGAAAGAAAAAAATCTTGACTATTCTAACCCTTACCAATACTAATCTTTACTAAAAATCCTTACTAATGAAGCCAACTAGTTGATCTAGTATCTTTTCTGCAGTGCTTTAAAGATGATTTTAGATCAACTGTTGGTTCAAACACTGAATTCAACCCCAAGCAGTTGTTTTTTTCAGCTAATGAACTGAATTATAACACTTGATTCAATTCACTGAAACGCATGATTCATTTGAACTGATTTAAAGAAATTAAGTGCCATTTTGATGGCAAGATACGCAATTAAAACTCCCAATGCTCACAAAACAAAGAGTCAAATGAGTCAAAATGCGTTAATCGCAACATTCACGATGTTTGGCTGCAAAATCATTGCAAATATAACGCAGCTGTTTGGGTTTCTAGCACTGTAAACCTTGTCGTAGATGTAGATCCTGTCCGTGTTTTTGCTGGCACAGAACTTCAGACAATCATACACGGGAACAGAGTTGTCCGACTCCTTTTGAGTGTGAACCTGATGGGGTAGGGGCGTGTTTGTTTTGGTGATTTCAAATGTCAGCATTGGCTACCAGAAATCGCTTACCCCCACCTTTAACTTTATAAAAAGAAAACTTTGACAAAAAGAAAGTCATTCAGGTTTGAAGGTCTGTCTTGGAGTTTTTGTATTATTAAAATAACTTGTATAATTTCCAGCTTTTATTGCAATTTTTATTATTATTTTTTAAATAAAATGTAATATTTTTTAATCATATAAAATATTACATAATAACTGTTAAATTACACAAATTATATATAAAATAAAATTGTATTTTTTATTAAAAAAGTAATCATTTAAAAAAAATTATAAAAGAATAATAAATATACAAATAAAATTATGAATATATTTTAAATGTCTTTTAAATAATAAAATGAATTAAACGAAACAATTGTCTCGAGTTTCTGTATAATTGGTGCTGAAATCTCATGTCTCAAACTGCTTTCGTAGTATGGAAAAAAAATGAGCTTGAACATTCGTAAGGTGAAACTAACTGGAATATCAAATATTGGTTAAAAAAAGTTATCAGTTATAAGCTTTTACAGTACATAAAGATAATAGCTTGACTTTTTTTTTTTACTGATATTGCTGGCATATACATATATATATATATATATATATATAACTTTATTGGGATTTTTTAAAATGTATTCAAACATCTTTATTTCTTAAATTAAATTATTATTCAATGCAATATTCTTGTAAAATGGGCTGTTCACCTTCAGAAGTTAGTGATGAGCGCTTTAGTTTAGTATCGGTTCTTTATACTGGTTATTTGACACGTTACAACAATCAGTGTTGCTCATAAACAATATCGACTGATCTAAAGTAAATGATAGGAGAACTTCCGTTTTAGGTTGTATTGTTCCTTTAATTTGAAAATTCCTGAAAGTGGCGGCAGTGTGTTTGGAACAGACCTGGATCACAGCTGGAGAGTGTTTGTGGGGTGAATTCATCCTTTCGTTGCGTTTCTTGAGATGCATTCAAATGCGTTTCTGCCACATCCTGATTGGCCCGTTGGCTTGGACATGCAGGCGGGGTTTGTGGGGTGCTGGGGCGGGTCGGTTCGCTTTCATGGTCTGAATTCGAGACGCAGATGGAAGTGAGCAATGAGGAGGATGAGGGGTGCTCCGGTAATGATGAAGGTGTGCTGGGAGCTAATGCACAGAGAAAGAAATACAGGGTCAACCTCAGTCCACTGTTGTAAACGATACGTCAGTTCTGTTTCAACTTGATCATTACATTTTACAGCACAAAACTAGTCTGGTTAAATGGATATTTCACCCAAAAAATAAAATTATGACTTAATTTCTTCCATGGGACACAAAAGAAGAGGGTAAAATTTTGTAAATTATATGTACAAATGTTATAATATTAAATACTAAACTTAATCAAATACACAGATTTATTATATATAAATACAATAAATAGCACCATGTACTGAGGTTTTAATGAATTACTATAATTTAATTTTATTATTTTTAATTAAAAATATATACTGTTAATCAAATAGCCAGTGCAATAAGTTTGTACTTTTTAATAAAAATATCCAATTTTATTATATAAAATTACAATGAATAGCACCATGTATTGAGTTAAATGAATGACTGTAATTTCATTATTTTTAATTAAAAATGGTATTAATCAAACATCAAATGTACAAGTCTTACATTTTTTTAAATTATTATAATTTAATTGTAATTTAAATTAAATTGTGTTTTTAATAAAAATATACTATTATATAATCAAATATACAATTTTATTATATATAAATACATTAATGGCACCATCTATTGAGTTTTTTTTTTTTATTAATTACTATTAATTTATTTTTTTATTTTTTTATTAAAAATGTATACTATTAATCAAATA